TAATCCCAGCACTCGGGAGGCAGAGGCAGGCGGACCACAATTTTTAAAGAGAAAAGTTAATACTTTGAAACTACTGTATTTCACACACATCTCTAATGAAACTTTTCCACTTAATGTTGGCTATTGGTTATTAGACATTCACAGACCTTACAAGTTCCAGAATGAATAAAATATGAAAATACAAAAAATAAATTATAAGGCAGAAAAACAACTTCGGCCAGAAATGGTTTCTTAAATGTTCGACTTCCTTCTAATTTTCCTGACCATGTCTTTTTTTTGGGGGGGAGGGGGCATTTAACTGTAAAAAAAAAAATTGTACTAGGTGAGAGGGCAGGTGGGATGGGGATGTGAGGGATGGAGGCGTGGAGGAAACTGCAGGCAGGATGTACTGAAAACAGAAAATCACACAGAAAATCTTGACTAACACCCAAGACTAACATATGTGTTTCATTCATTGCCAATCACATACTTCTAAGAAAGTAAAATTACTTGAAGGTCAATCACTTTCTAGCTCTTGAAAGTTGTACTAAATACTGCCTCTTGAGACTGCTCTTTCTATTTTCTGTGTGAGGAGATACAATTTCTGCTAAGAACAGCAATTATAAAGAGTAATTTTTGAAATTTTATTCATTTATTTATGATACTAGGGATAAACTCAGAACCTGACATACAAGGCAAATGCTTAAACACTGAGTTACACTCCCAGCACCAATCACATTTTAAAGCCTAGTCATTTAGGCACATTTCTAATGTGACCCATTCTACAGAATCACCTTTTGAAGACAGTCACAGCAATTTGAGTAAAAAGAGAAAAGTCATTCCCATTTCCAGTTACTCACTCGCCCACCAGAACTGTGACTCACAGGTCACGCCCACAGACAGCCGCTCCTGCTGTCCTCTGTGTTTGGAGACCGGGTCCCACTCCGCAGCCCAGGCTGGTCCCAAATCATGGACAATCTCCTGCCTTTATCCGTTCCCAAGGTGCCAAGACTGCAGAGATCCACCAGTATGCCTAACTTGAGCCAATTAAGTCCTCACATGTGGCTGGGCATAGGTGAAGGCCATTAATGGGAGTTCCCTTTCCCATTCCCTCAAACCACACAGACAAGAATGTATCTGCAGTATTTGAACTTTTTTGGTTTCCCAAGATAGAGCTAACCTGGAACTCACTATGTAGACCAGGCTGCCTCAAGCTCACAGAGATTCACCCGCCTCTGCCTTTTTAGTGATGGATTAAAGTGCACCATCATACCTCACTTGTCTGCAGTGTATCAATAAGCTTTGAGATATGGATTCTTTGAAATGACAGACAGCATGACAATAATCTACTACTATTTTTATCTCATACTACAATACTGTCTCAATATTTAAACACTAAGAAAATTAATTTAAAAGAAATACAAAGAGGGCTAGAGAGCTAACTCAGGAGTTAAGAGCACTTGCTGCTCTTGCAGAGAAACCAGATTTGATCTTGCAAATATAGAGCAGCTTATATATATACACATACATACATACATACATACATACATATATCTGTAACTCCACTTCCAGGAGAGCCGATATTCCTTCTGGTCTCTGCAGGCACCAGGCACGCATATGGTATATATAATATACATGTAGGTTAACCATACCAATAAAATAAAAATAAATAAACTTTCAGAAACTGACTCATCTGTGCTGAACAGGTAACACCTGTAATTGGAGCGCTTTTTGTTTTACTGGGAACTAGAGACTGAACTGGGTCCACATACTTGCACGACAAGCACTTTATTAAAGGACAGCCATTTCTCCGTCCCCAGCTTCCTAAAATCCAAACGCTCCTTGGATGAGCCTTCCTGTTTCAGTAGTCTCTTACCCTCTTCTTCCCGGGCTCGGAAGCACGAGTTTCATAGTCATCAGGGAGCTGAAGGTAATCCTCCATTCTGCTGGCTATCGCCTCCCAGTCACGTTTCCGTTTAGTGCCAGTCCTCAAGCCGTCCAACTTGTCTGAGGGACAAACACAGAGCCACAGCATTAGGAGTGTGTGAGTCTGTACACAACACGCAAAGGAACAGGAGGGCTGGATTGTTTCCAGTGGGCACATCCACATTTCTCAATGCAGCATCATTTTCAGATCCAAACTATCTTCTTGGCTAAGAAAATATCAAATGTATGTGATTCTCACAGTCTGTTTGGTGTTTGTCTTGGATAATATTTATACTTTGATGGTTTTAGCAATAAATATGGGTGAGGCAAGTAAAGACCCTCCCATCCTCCCACCCTCAGGAAAAAAAAAATCACACTTCAGCTCTCATGTTCTAAAAAGAAAAACAAAACAAACAAACAAAAAACAGGTCTCTTTAAAAACAATTACTGCTTTTTTAACACAGTGTTAATACAACTCAGTTGATCTACAATGATGTGATACTGTATCATATGAAAATCAGATAGCAACAAGATCATGTTTAAGGATGTGTTTTGATTATTTTTTGGCTAAGAGCACTCATGAGTTAATATTTATGAGTAAGACAACTATATGAGACCTCCTCTTTCTTTGCATATACTGTTAAGTACTGTTGACCACCCTGTATTTGAGTGTACTGTAAAGTACTGTTAACACTTTGTACTTTGAGTACACTGTAAAGTACTGTTGATTCACCATGCTAAAGACTGGTATGTCAGCCCAAGTGACCAGATCTGGTATTTCTTTCTTAATCTTAAATCTGAAAGGAGCTGGTCTCCCAATAGCTCACAATTACCAAATAAACAGCACATCCAGAAATTATGAGAGATGAGGTTAGGTGTATTAAATAGCACACAATGAAAATATGGTGTCTTTTTTATTTTTAATACTGATTCTGATACAAATGTGGAATATTATAAGTTATATACATTTGAGCTCCAGTGAAACGCCTGCATCCTCTGAAGTTATCTAAACACACTATTGTTAAAGTGAGCTAGTCAAGGAAAGCTTAACTGCTTCGGAAACACGGAACAAACATTCACCCCATAAAGGATGCAGAATGTGGACACTAGAGGTCTTTAAGGCACCAGTTGGAGAGAGTTTGGCATGGCACGTGCAGTGGAAGCAGTGGCGAGGGGGAGAAGTTACGCTTTCTCATATACAAACTCCACACAACTAACTGGACACAATCTTTACAAAGCCACAAAGACTTTGCATAATAGGCAAAGGGTTTAGTTCTCATACTCCTCCCTCACAAAAGCAATCATCATTGAAAACTCAGGAATGTAAATGACAACAGTTTACAAAACTAAGAAAATTGTTTCAACAAAATTTCCCTGAAACAGGCTCCCCAGAACCAATCTTCTACCTCTTCTGTTGATAAGATGATGGACAACGGCTCCACAGACGGCCATACTATACAGAACCCTTGGCTACATAGGGACACAACACATGGTACCAGATAACCCATGACGTCCCATACGTAGTAAAATGGACGTTAGTTCAAGACCTTAGACATGCAGTGTCTTACCAGAGAGTAGGAAGCTCCAGTATACTCAAATAAATTTCAAGGATTTCCAAACTCAGAACCACTGATTTTCATGAACACACTCTGAAGAAGGGAAGTTTCACATTTCAGTTCTAACAAGAGAGCATGGCCAGGCAGTGCTACAGGAAGGCAGGTGGGAACTGCCAGACGATGTCCTTGTCCACTAGGTAGTGCCAGGAGGGAGAGAGCATGTGTTCTGGATTTGCAACCCGAGGCCCCGAAGCCTGCACTCTAGTCAGGGCGAGCGCCCTTATTTGGAGTATTTGGTTTGAAATTTTATTGTGCAAGCATGTTTCAAGTTTCTTTGGAGTGCTGAAGAAAGGCTCAGCACTCATCCACACGAATACTAGAATCCCAAACACTCGGGTAGCATACAATAAGGGAAGAGGAATCTGAGTGCTGGTTACAGAAGAAAGGCAGGTGGCCCAATCCACTCACACGTTAGAGGTCTGGGTTGTAAAAGATGAAGTTTTAAGAGGATGAAGTTTTGATCCAACTTGGTTGGTTACAGAATTTACCACATCTTTAAAACACTGCATGTTACTATAGCACAACAGAACAATTCCAGAGATACATCTATATATGTCCTAAATGTATATGGTATCTGAAAATTTGTCCAAGGTGAACATATAAGAGTTCTGTGCCTATACAAGTAACAATTTCATCTTAACTATGAAAAGATGATTCAGTCTGTCTGATGAGTAGAAGGTTGAAATACAACTCGTAAGTACAGACAAGTGACATGAAGATGACAAGATCAGAGTGCTTTATAAGGAGAAACCTATTAGATGACAACAGTCTCGGATATTCTGTCGTACAAGTGTGAGAAACTAAAATCACATCACTGGACGTGAAGTACCTTCAGTACTAAACCCCCGCAGATGTGTGTAAAACCCAGCTCTTGTATTACCACGTCTATCTCTCAGTTAGGAAAGAGCTGGTCAGGCAGCTGTCAATCACATGCCAGATACAGCTCAGGCCAGTAACTGTTTTAAATTGATGCTGCTTCCGATTTAACAGACACAAGCTGACCTGTACATTAAGCACAAATCAAGACTCTGCAATGAATTCTGGTCAGTTGTTTGGAAGAGTACAGAAGTATTTTCTTACTGGAAGACTCATCTATGAACCAAAACCCCTCAGCTCCAGTTTTCAGATTTTTTTCAGTTCAATATGCAATACAGGTAAAGCTTATTATGCTTCCACCTCAGCATAATCATGTTGCTAAGAGAAATGTAAGAATGTTGGTAGAGTACTCGATAAAGTAAACTGCATCTGGTAACCAAACATTAAATTTGATGATATGAAAGGAAACACAAATAGGCTAATTCTCAGATGATCCTCATGAGTTAGAAGAGAATTTTCAATTGGCCCAATGGGCCAACCTCAAAGGAGTAAACACTTTGATAAAGCTTACACTCAATTTTCCTTCTTCTGAGGCTGCATTAACTTATAAGACAATCCAGTGGTGCCAAATGCCAGGTCCTTAGACAAAACATCATTGTCACTCCTTTTATATCAAGTAAAAATTTCCCTGTCTAGATTCATTACCAGACTATTCGTGCCATTACTGAAAAGATTTATGAGAAATTCATTTCTGTAATTCACTGTATAGTATCTTTAAAACTGACACACTGTATAAGACACATTTCTGAGAAATAAATAATAGGCAAGTCATATTTCCCAGAAATCAATACAAACATTAATAACATTTTTCTCGAATAGTCATCACGGCTATGTTCCATTTTCTTTTCTCCTCTAAAACTAGAAAGGAAAACAGAAAATGGGATGGCTCGTTTTTTTTGTGTTTTTTTTTTTTTTAAAAAGGACAAGCCCAGATCGTGTATTATATAACACCTCAGAAGAACGTTTGCTAAACTATGTGTCATTCTTACAATCCCCTTATCTTTATGATCACTCTTTGCCACCGATTCCATCACTAAAGCACCAGCAGAAACAAATGCTCTTCTAGTCTTACAGGGTACTTTAAAGGACAGCTCTTAAACAGGGTTAACCTAATTCAAAAGAAGCAAAATTAAGACATCCCCTTTAAAAAAGTAAGCTGTGGTTACTATTTTCTTAACTATTTAAATGCATTTAAGCAAAAAAGTGCTTATGGTATGTGTAAGGAGAGAGTTGATTACTGTTAAATTTCTCAGAGGAAAGGTTTGTAGAAGAATATGCCAATAAACTACAATTTTCACTTGACACATGCTAAAATTATTTTTAGATTTTATAGCAAGCACCTATTGCAATAAAACAATACTACTACAGTTTGTGAGCTTATCTTTGAAGACACAGCCTAGTAAAAACCGACTGCGATCTCTAACCCAAGTGAGCCATGCAAGTCTGTGTACAATTTACTCACCTTTGATGCAAAGGTCACATGACCTAAGCAGCAAAAGTGCTGAGTGGCCAAACTACATCTAGGGACTTAGGGGGCTGAGATGGTTGCTTGGTTCTGGAGTAACAGTACATCACGGAGAGAAAAACTGAGTCACCTTTCCTAATCAGTAAGTTCCCGCATGGTTCTTTACATTTGTATTGACGCACCTTAATTGACATGTTAAATTGGTCTCTTTTAAGTTTTTTTTTTACAGTATCACACTAAAATTCTGAAGAAATCCATTTAATACATACAATTTTTTTACTTGGCTAAATCAGGCAACTCTAAGGTTTGATTGAAACAATCATTTAAACCGGTTTACCTTGTAGCTTGGTATTAAAAACAGCCTGAAGGAAAATTTAAACGGAGTCTCCTTAAATATTTCAATTATGTATTTACTTCCCTCAACACAGAAACTCAAATTTATTACACAAGATATCTTTTTAATTACTTTTTAAAACTCTAATATTTATTAGAATCATTACTAAAATACTCACAAACAAGCTCAACTTTGGGTTATAGGCAATATTCTTGTAAAAAAGAAATGTTAGGAGCACATTTCTGATTAGTACTAAAAAAATGTTAGAAGTGACAGTATATTATTATGCCTATCAAATATTTCTAATTATTCTAAAAACTTCCAATGATATCAAAGCATTTTTTTTTTTTTTGTAAAAAACATCCTTTTTTACACTGTCACAGTAGTCAAGGCAAAGCTAGTGAACTGACTGAAGGATGTGAGCACAAGTTTCTGGCCCTTTACTCCGTGCAGTGCAGAGCTCTATGACCATGACCATCAGGTATCACATATAAAAACAGGAAAAAGGAAATACCCACCTAGCTTTGCCTCAGAAGTGTCCATCTCCCATTTGCTTTTCGGAATGTAACCCTAAATCGTACACAGAGAGAAGCTCGAAGGGTTAGAAAGAGACACATACATGCATAACACGTTTGAATTGGAAAAGCATTAAAACTGGGAATGGATTCAGTTTCCACTCACTAGTTATAAATATATCCTTATGGAAAACACAACTTTATTATCCTTGAAGAAAGTTAAGTGACCAAATTCACCAAACTTCACTGCACATTTCAGAGCAGTCACCAGGACGGGATCATGAAGGCACTTTGAGGCAGGTACAGTTGAGGATTCAACTGTAGCCTCCATTCCAGATGTACAGCAATTATGGCAAGAATGTACAGCTAGTTACTCAGTCAGGATCAGTATCATTCAGAAAATTTATAAGCTAGCTAGGTTACTTTCTAAGTACAACTGCTATTCTCAAGTAATTGAAGCCATGATGTCCAAGAGTGTTCTTCAAGACAGTCACTTGATATTCCAGTGTCATTTTAAGTACTTGGGAAAGGAAAACTGGTATTTGAACCCAACTACCCCATTATGAAGTTCACACTCATTTTGAAAATGACTCAATCCATGTACCAGTTAGATCTTACAAAGGCTAATTTTATTGAATCAACCAGAGCAGTTCTCTTTCACCAGATGAAAATGAAATTATTTCTGATAGCTTCTAATATTATGTTTTACTGTTATGTGATAAACCAGATATTACCACAGGCAATTTATAGCTTACATAAGGTAACTGAGTAATTTAAACAAACTCGCCAAACATTTCCCAATGTCCCAGGGTGCCTACAACTACATAGTAATCCCCTCCGTTTATTCCATGTCATTTATCATGAATCCCCTTTTTCTTTATTTGGACTGTGGTTTCAATTAGATCCTATTATACAGAAATGTTAATATTAGGACCTAGTGAACAAGACAAATTCATTAAAGGTATTTGTCTTTACGAGTCATCTCTGCTGTTGAGAATGTTCAAGGTCATAGAGCAGACTGCCACACAGCTGCCTTGGAAACACAGTGGAGACACCGTAACAATCTCTACAGAAGAGTTCACTTGAGCATCTTACTCCAGGAAACCTTTGCATTTATACATTGCTAGTCTTTATGCAAAACTAGGAATTACTAGGTAGTATTTCAAATTATAAATTACATCATCTTTTCTAAAAACACTTAGATCAAATCAAGAAAAAGCTGTGCTGATGTGATGGTGTAAAGTGTTAACTACTGAGGAAATTAGCACAAGTGTTATCTCAAAACCCACCTAAAGCCTTAAGCATCACTGGAAAAGTACACTTATAGACTCTGATCATATGGACTAGGTTTGCAGAAGCACTAAAGACAGGACTCTATCTCACCAGTGATCCCTAATGATTTTTTTACCTAAGAAAAGCTTGGATTTCATCCAGTACAGAACTGAAAATGCAAAGCTTACTGAGAATTCCGTTAAAGTGGTCTGAATGACACGAAACTCACTCATATCACCTTGGTTAATATTCTTCAGTAATCTTTTACCCTTGGGATAGATTCCAAGAGTAAAAGAGCTGGATTCTGCTATGTGAATGGGTTAAAGAATCTTTAGATTAAAGAAGTATACTCATTCCCCACTGCTGGAACCATCCTGGTCATCCTTTAGCTTCTTGAAGTGGCAGGCCACATGGAAACAAAAGAGAGTCCAGCAGAATATAATTTTAAGGCTTCCTTGCCAGTTCTCTGATGGAAAACTAGTGTTACAGTGTGTTCCCCTTTAAAAACTAACTGTACGTTTAATGAAAAGCTCCAAGTTGACTACATTTAAGCAAGCGAGATGAAGCATATCCTGGAGGAAAACTGCCACAAAAGATGGGACTTCCAAAAGCTAATAACACTGTGGATTTCTCAATCACGTTCTAGGACAGGCTACAAGTAGCTAGTGAAATTAATAACTGTTATCCAGAACAGTGTGGATCTTCAAGTCAATTTTCTGCTCACATTTTAGAGTATGTATGTCAAAATGCAACCTGATTAAGAAAAATAAGACTATTAAAAAAGATACTGAGACTCAATTACCATTAACTTTAAAGCTTATTTTTTAATACACATTTAAAAAAAATCTAGGAATGTAGAGGTCGACACCAATGCTATATAAACACAGATTCTATCAAGAGTCATCTACGTCACACATGGTTTGAAGAGACCACTCCTTGTAGACTATGTTTTATGGGACAGGAATCAGGGATCTCTGTTTGTACATTTTCATTAAGAGAAGTATGAGAAGCAACTTAGCAAGAGCTGAAATGTCAAATAAAGCAAGTAATCTCATAGATTTAAAAAGCAATACTATCCAAAGGCATTGTTCATCTCCGTACCTCATTAGCCAACACTAAAATGTCAGTAATTTTATAGGTTTCATTTCTTGAGGGACAGGGTAAGGCAAACATCTCCAGAGGTGTAATCAAAAGCATTTACAGGAGGTACACACAACTTTGAACTCACATTATTATTCTCTCATCAGCCTTGGTATTCCATTGCCTACACAGTCATTTTTGCCATCACTTAACAAGACAAAACAAGAACAAATCCAGCAGCCAGTGGCAGCCCTTCGCCTCTTCATTCAATAAGTTCTTCTGCCTCAGGGGACAGAACCCCATTTTGAGATCTTATAGCAAAGAAGAGACAAGTATGCATATACTGGGTAGGCTATTCCACAAACCTGCTGGAATGGGAAAAAATGCCCCTTCATGTGTCATTTACTTTCTTGAAAAGCATACTCTTTCAACCACCCACGGCTAGATGAGTACAAAGATGAGTTTCTTAGTACTCTGTTAAATTTTAACAACACAGAGCTTTTTTGGACTAGGGAAAAATAAAAAGAATCCAAAGTCTCCATAAAGATGGTTATGGAAACTTTTACTGTAAAAAGTGTGTATCAACACTAGTAATCTAACTACAGATCTGAATATAAACACTCCTTAAGAATAACAAAGAGACACTTTGCTCAAAGTGGTTGGTCTGTCTCCTACCAGTTCGCTTTCCTCTTCTTCTGCATCTTTCTTTTCATCCTTCTGTTCTTCAATATTTGCATCAAAATCTTCCATCTCTACCTACAACACGCCAATAATCATTTCTAAAAAGGATGCATTAGCATTACGAACATGTTGATTCACTAAGATCTGCAGTAAGCCCAAGGCAGCACGGCCATTCCTCTGTCACACACCACGTGAGTTCTAACACCCTGAACTTTGAAGTGGGACTAAAAGAAAACAGAAAGATATTCATGGAATTTTCATCTTTATTCCTGTAAAGTTAGGAAAAATCTTTTACTCCAAGGAGATGGATCACATGTTTTTAATACTCAAAGAGATTATAGACTTTTAAAAACTTTTGTTTTTTGTTTTTTTTTTCGAGACAGGGTTTCTCTGTGTAACAGTCCTGGCTGTCCTGGAACTTACTTTGTACACAGGCTGGCCTCGAACTCACTGAGATCCGCCTGCCTCTGCCTCCCGAGTGCTGGGATTAAAGGCGTGCGCCACTGATGCCTGGCGACTTTTAAAAACTTTTTTGGGGGGTGGGTTCGAGACAGGGTTTCTCCGTGTAGTTTTGGAGCATGTCTTGGAACTCACTCTGTAGACCAGGTCGGCCTCGAATTCACAGAGATCCACCTGCCTCTGCCTCCCAAGTGCTGGGATTAAAGGTGTGTGCTACCACCGCCCAGGGACTCTTAAAGTACCGGGACAAATAACCAAATGAATGGAAGCACAGGATCTATGAACCAAAGGCTGAGGGGCCCCCAACTGGATCAGGCCACCTGAACGGGTGAGACAGTCAGTTGGCTTGATCTGTTTGGGAGGCAGCTGTGCATTGGTGCCAGGTCCTGGGCTCGTTGCATGAGTTGGCTGTTTGAATCCTGGGACTTATGCAGGGACACTTGGCTCGGTCTGGGAGGGGGGAATGGACCTGCCTGGACTGAGTCTACCAGGTCAACCCCGGTCCTCGGGGGAGACCTTGATCTGGAGGAGGTGGGAATGGGGGGTGGGCTGGGGGGAGGGGTGGGCGAGAGGGGGAGAACAGGGGATTCTGTGGCTATTATGTTGAACTGAATGGTGTTGTAAAATAATAATAATAATAATAATAAAAAAAAAAAAAAAAAAAAAAACTTTTAACACATATTTCTCTAATCAAATTTCCAAAGAAGAGAAATGGTCGGGGGGACAATAACAAATGAGACAGCATGGAGATGTGAGACGCACTTAGAAGGTAAAAGGATCGAAGAACAGACTAAGGTGCCTGTAGGAAACCATCAAAGCTGGTATAAGGAAGAACAACAGATTACTGTTTCCAACAGGGTGGTTCCTCCTAAAAGGACAGAGGATACTAAAAGAGGAGCATAGCCAGGAATTCTGGCTACACCAACATGGCAGGTTTTGGGGAGACTTCAGAAAATAATCACAGAAAGAATTTAAAGCACTCCATTCAAAACTGTTAACTCTTTTTTTTTCTTTTTTGGACAGGGTCTGGCTCTGTAGATCAGGCTGGCCTAAAACTAAGTGCTGGGATTAAAAGTGTGTGCCATCAGGCCTCATCAAAATTGTTACTTTTAAGGTAGTGATGTAGCACATGCAAGTCTTTATAAGGTACATAAGAGGCAATCTAAGAATTTAGTACGGGCATAAACTGGCAATCTCAGAAATAGGTTGTTTATATGTGCAAAGTAAATATTGAGCTAAGGCTGGGCAGTGGTAGTGCATGCCTTTAATTTCAGCAGTTGGGAAGGTAGAGGCAGGTGCATCTCTGAGTTTGAGGCCAGCCTGATCTACAGAGTGAGTTTCAGCACAGCCAGGGCTACACAGAGAAACCCTGTCTTGAAAAACAAAAAACAAAACAAACAAACAAAAAACTGAGCTAAGGATAGAGCCCTAAGTGATTTCTTAAAGTCTGGAAAGGATGAGTTGGAAAAGAGACTGTGCTGAGATGATACAGAGATAACTGAAAGCCAGAATATGGACTCATGAAAGCCAAGGGGAAAAAAAAAAAAAAAGAGTGTTTTTAGAAGGTGGCATGATCAACTCTATCACATGTGGCTATAAATTTGGGCAACAGGAGAGTGTCTGCTCCCAAGCCACAGATAAAAACAGCACCATTCAAAGAACAAGGTCAAACAAAACAGAAGTGTATAAGTGACTGAGACAGAAATTCTCTCCTTTCATGATGAAGACTTGCTTCCACCCAACTAATCGCTACCATTAAGAGTTAGCAATGAGTGAAAATGTGTTGGAGAAAAAGAAATTAACAGACACTTATAAATTATTTATTACAAATGGAAAAAAGTACAAAAACTCACTAGATATGACCCTGGTGCCAAGGTTTAGACCAAAGCCTAAATCACAATGAGGAAAACTGGCATCTCAAAGGAGATGAACCAAATGCGATACACTGAGAACACATAAGTCGTGTGCCATTCCTGCCAACGTTTTGTTCATGTTTACACACTGATTTGTTCGTTCATTTATTCATTCACTTGTGTTTGAACACACACATGTGCCCACTGCCCTGGCGCACAGCAGGATGTCAGAGAGCAATTTGAAGGAGTTAGTTCCCTACCATGCCTTACCCACTCAGCCATCTCCCCTGCAACTTAATTTAAACCTAAACTAATAGGAACAGACAACCCAAACTGATGGGCACTCAACGGAACAACTGGTCTATATGCACCAAAAAAAAATTTTTTTTTTAATGGTAGGCTAAAAAATTACTTTTTAGAATGTAAGTCTGAATCTGGGATCTTCTCCTAACTCTTTTTTATGTATATGGGTGATTTACTGCATATATGTCTGTGTGTCACCTGTGTCCACTGAGAAGACCAGAAGGGTGTAGGGTCCCCTAGGACTAGAGCTGTAAATGGCTGTGAGCCACCACATGGGTCCCGGGAACTGAACCTGTGCCCTCTGGAAGAGCAGCCAGTGCTCTTAGCCACTGAGCCATCTCTCCAGGCCCTACAACATTAAAACATACAAACAAACACATAAATAGAAACAGCAGGCATATGTGCATGTATGCTTCAATGTGTGAGAGACTTGTGTGTGTGTGTTCATGTGTGCAGGTCAGAGTTTACAGCAGGTGTCTTCCTCTGTTCTCTATTTTTTCCCCCTTTCTTTGTTTGTTTTTTCCAGATAGGGTTTCTCTGTGTAACCCTGGCTGCCATGGAACACGAACTACAGACCAGGCTGACCTCTGCCTCCACAGTGGCAGAGAATTAAAGGTGTATGACACCTTATTTTTTGAGATAGGGTTTCTCACTGAACCTAGAGCTCACCAATTTAGACTGGTTAGCCATTGAGCCCAGGGATGCCTTCCTCTCCCCCCCCCCACCCCGCCCCCTCCCTCTGGTTTTTCGACACAGGGTTTTTGTGTGTAACAGCCCTAGCTGTCCTGAAACTAGCTCTGTAGATCAGGCTGGCCTCGAACTCACAGAGATCTGCTTGCCTCTGCCTCTCGAGTGCTGGGATTAAAGGTGGGTACTACCATCACCCAGCCCCTAGGTATCTCTCTTATATTCCCCCTCCAAAGTACTGGGATTACAGGCAAGGGCCAATGTGTCCAGTGTTTATATGAGTGTTAGGAATCAAAATTCAGGTCACATGCTTTCATGGCAAGCACTTTACTAAATGAGCCATTTTTTCCAATTATAAAAGGTTATAAAAGGGTTGGGGATTTAGCTCAGTGGTAGAGCGCTTGCCTAGCAAGCACAAGACCCTGGGTTCGGTGTTCAGCTCCAGAAAAAGAAAGAAAAAAAAAAAAAAAGGGTTATTAAAGCTGGGCATAGCGGTGCATGCCTTCTCTTGAGTTCAAGGCCAGCCTGATCTACAAAAGGAGTTCCACACCAGACAGGGCCATACAATGGTTTGTTTCATCCCATACAAAAAAGTGCTATAAAAGATAAGACAGTAATGAAATCTAAATATAGACTATTTTAAAGCTACCTCAAGGAAATTCAGAGGCTGAATTAAGGAACTGGCTGTGGTGTATGGCTTAGGAGCAAAGCAGAATTAAGTAAATTAAAAAAAAAACTAATTTTAGGAAATTTATTTTACTTAATATAGTATCATATCAATGTTAACTTTTCTTTTTCCTTCTTGGTGTTTTGAGACAGGGTCTCTCTACATAGCTCTGACTGTACTGGAACTCACTTTGTAGACCAGGCTAACCTTGAACTCACAGAGATCTACCTGCCTTTGCCTCCCAAGTACTGAGATTAAAGGTGCATGCTATCAGCCTGGCTAATGTTAACTTTCTTAAATTTTATAATTAACTAAATATATTGGAGAATGTCTTTGTTCTTAGAAGATAGCCATCAACATACTTAGGGGTGATAGACTAAGGTTTTTCAACTTAACTCTCATATGATTCTACAGTAATGGTATATATACTAATGTTACTAAGTATTAACAATTGGATTAGTTGAGATCATTCAAAGGTATATACGTGCTCTTACATTGCTCGTGTAACTTTTCTGGAAGTTTAAAACTTTCAAAGTAAAGAAGGTGGAAAACATGTTGCTTAATCTTAACTGCATTTGAGGCAAAGATGCACACTTACTTCTTCTATTGCAGCATCTTGTAGCAAGGAACGAATGTCTAGACGCATCATGTGACGAGGTGCAGTTTCCCAGTGATCAGCCATCTATTGAGATATTCAGAGGTTATCTCAGACAACTACTCCAATAAAGACCAAATCCGCTGTCAAGATAAATGCGATTAATGCTACAACCTGAACAGGCTAGTTCCGAGAAAAGCTAGGCAAGCCCTTCCAGTTAAAATACAGAAAAGAGGCCAGGCCTTTAATCCGAGCACTCGGGAGGCAGAGGCAGGTGGATCTCTGCAAGTTCGAGGCCAGCCTGGTCTATAGAGCAAGTTCCAGGATGGGTTCCAAAAGCTACACAGAGAAACCCTGTCTCTAAAAACCAAAACCAACCAAACAAACAAACAAATAAATTTTAAAAAATGCAGAAAAGAAAGCATTTATTGAAGCAGATAGAAAAGACATTCAGGGAAAAAAAAAGTGAGGTAAATGAGCTTAAGACAACACTGCTGATACTGAGAGAACGATGTTTGGGGTACTCTGGCACCCTAAGTTTCTGAAAAATTACCTTATTTATTTCTTTAAGCTTTCTTCCATGAATATTTCTCTTGCCACAAGTCTGGTTATCAACACTCATTTCAGCCAAATACACCTAAACAGAAATAAGTGATGATTAGGTCCAGAGACTCAAAACTCAAACTCAAAGTGCTTCAAAAGTTCTTTAAGACCATACCTCAAAACCCTTGGTTTTTGCTGCACTCCAAAACTGGTCAAAATGTCTAACTCTGTCATTGATAGCATCCAGAATGATGAAAGGGAAAAACCCATCATCCAGAGTCTTTTTGAACGTTTTGAACATGCTGGTGCGGTAAGTCTCCTCCATCTCAGCTTCATATTCATATTCCATCACCTAAGATCCCACAGAAAAATGGGGATTAGCAAAAGGAAAGAATCAGCCTCAGCCTGGTTAACACCGAGATAAGGATGACTTTACATCCTTCACACCTAAGTACCAAAGCTGGTGTCCAGAAGACAGGAAGTGATCATCTTCAAAAAAACATCTTGCATCTCAAGCCAGGTGTGGCAGTGCACACCTTGAATGTCTGCAGGTGATGCAGGCAGATCCTTGTGAGTTTGAGGCCAACCTGGTCTAATCTGGTCTACTGGGCAAATTCCAGGCCAGCCAGGGCTATACAGTTAAGACCCTGCCTCAAAAACAATAAACCAACCCTGTCTCAAAAAACAAAATAAACAAACAAAACTAACAACCCCATCTCTCCCTCAACCTATTTTCCTTAAAATCCCACCAACAGGTCTAGAAGAATTACATCATACCTTCTTTTTCACTTTCTTCCCAGAATCTGGATCTTTTTCTTCTTTTTCTACTTCAGTGATGAAATAATCATCTAGACTTAAAACCCTGGGTGCAGGTCCTCCAAATTCTACTTCCTTATCCTAAAAATACAACAGTTATGAAGATTTTTAAAAAAAAACAAAAGTGAACCAAATTGATGAAAACACTCAAGTTTCCACTTGTGGCTAAATAAACTAAAATAAAAATTTCTGGTTGTTTTAAATCAACCAGAGGCAAAACTATTTGTCTAAATGGATAAAAACACTTCTAAGGAAAACACCCACTAAAGATCCATGGGCCTCCGTAACTCATCAAAGGGAGACACTAGGACGAGTAACACACTACCCACCAACACAAGCAACGCACTTTTCCCTTTTCTTTTGTTTGCTTTCTCGTACTCACCCGAATAAGTTTGGCAACATGTGTCTTTCCACTGCCAGGCAATCCTCTCATTATCACAACAATCTGAAACACAAGGAGGAGGAGGAGGAGGAGGGGAGTTTGTTTTGTGTGGGGTGGGGATGTAGCTCAGTTGGCTGAGCTTCTGTATGCCTCCCTAGCATACAGAAATCCCAGTGCCATCCCAGTATTAGAGCAACTGCCTGGAATCCCAGCACTCAGGCGGTAGAGGAAAAAGGTCAGAAGAACAAGGTCATGCTTGGATACACAGGGACTCTAAGGTTAGCCTGTTAGACCTGAGACCTTGTCTCAACACAGACAAAGCAAAACAAAACAGAACAACAGAAATGAATCAGTGCGTGAAACAAACTATTGAAAAATCAATGGCCCAAAGAAATCAGAAAATATTCTGACAGGAATGAAGATAAAGACACATACCACAGCTCATGGAGTAAAACTAAGCAAATGTTTGAAGGGAAATTTTAAGTGTAGGTGTCTATATCAAGGGAGATTTAGGGGCTGGAGAGATGGCTAAGCTGGGATTTTAGGCCTGCTAGTACACTCAGTTAGTGGACACTTCAAAAACAAACACAAAACACCTCCTTTAAAACATGTTTCTGCAATTTGAGAAATGGCTCAGCAGTTAAGAGCACTGGCTTCAGTTCCCAGCACCTACATGGTGGCTCACAACTGTCTGGCTGTAACTTCAGTCCCAGGGGATCCAACATCCTCTTTTGACCTCTGTGTGCACCAGGCACACATGTGGTGTGCATACATATATGCAGACAAAACTTATCACACAAAATTAAACAAAATCTCTTAAAACATTAAGAAAAAAGATCTAATATTGAAAAACCTACTTTTCTGCCTAAACCACTGCAAAAAGAGCAAGCTAAAATGAACAAAACAGGAAGGTAACAATGATCCGACCAGATATTAAGGAAATAGAGTAAACTCAGGAAAGCTTTAGGGCTTGGATATGGTCATGTGTTCTTCAACAGTACAGGTGCTAGAAACTTGGTCTCCAGTCTAGCAGGGTGGAAATAATGGAGCTTTTATCAGGTAGGGATTAGTGGGAAGTTAATTAGGTCACTTGGGTTATTCTTGAGGGACCCTGGACACCTTCCTTGATAGTGCAATGGTATAAATTGTAAGTCTAATCCTTGAATCTCTCTGGCTTCCTGTCTCACACATGTTCCCACCATGATACATCCTCCATGTTTTGATGCAACAAGAAAGCCCTCACCATAGTCCAGCAAATCAGGAGATGCTGAACTCTTGCATCTCCTACAGTGTGGGATACATAAACATCTTTTCCTTATAAAGAACCCAGTTATAATGTCATCATCTAAGTAACAAAACAGCACATTTCCCCCCTTCCACATCTATAAAACCAAAAACTGATCCTCTGGGGTGGGGGGAACAATGAAATTGATAATCTTTTACCTAGACTAAGAAAAAAAAGATTTAAATTACGCTAATAAAAAATGGAGATGTCACTACCAATATTACAGAAATGTAAAGAGATTATAAAGAAAGATACACATGAGCTGCATGCTAAAAAGAAGGTAACTTAGATCAAACAGACAAATACCTAGGATGATGCAGACTACCAAACTTGCCAAAGAAACAAACAAAAACAAGGGGAGGGGACAGTTGACAGAGTAAAGCAAGGAAAAAAAAATTTCAGTACAACTGAGGCTGAGGCAGGCGTGTCTCTGTGAAATTAGCCTGGCCTACATGGTGAATTCTAGAACAACCAGGGATATATAGTGAGACCCCAACTAAAAAATAAATAACTTGGGGCTGGAGAGATGGCTCAAAGGTTAAGAACACTGGTTGTTCTTCCAGAGGTTCTGAGTTCAATTCCAAGCACCCATATGGTGGCTCACAACCACCTGTAATGAGATTTGGTGCCCTCTTCTGGCCTGCAGGGATACATGCAAATAGAACACTGTATACATAACAAATAAATAAATCTTTAAAAAAAAGAAAATAAATAAATAAATAAATAAATAAATAAATAAATAAATAAATAAATAACTCAATAAAAGCTGGCATGCCTCGAATGCCAGCCTTTGAGAGGTGGGGAGGCAGGAAGATCAGAAGTTCAAGATTGATTATAAGATCATTCTTGACTACACAGCAAGTTTGAGGCTAGCTTATTATACTTGGAGACCCTATCTCAATGAAAGAAAACAACAAAAGAAAAGATTTTTTCATGTGAATATGAACAGTCTCAGGAAAAAACAGTAAATTGGTAAAGAGATGAACAAAGAGACACCAACGGCGAGAGCAATGGCTCGGCTGTGAAGGGCACGGCTGCTCTTCCAGGGGACCCAGGTTTGAGTCTCAGCACCCACACGGCAGCTCACAACCCTCTGTAACTCGGTTGCAGGGGATCTGATGCTCTCTTTGCGCCTCACAGGCACTAGGCATGCAAATGGCACAAACACACAGGCAAAATATCCATACATATAAAATAATAATAATAATAATAATAATAATAATAATAATAATAATAATAAAGTACTAACAAGGAAAGCCTAGGCCTAAAAGACTCCATCACTGAATTCTACTAAATATTTAAAGAATGCAATTCTTCCAAAGAACAGAAGGACTAATTCCAAACTTATGAGGCCAACATCACTTCTGTATGAAAACTAGGCAGACATGACAAGAAAACAATGATATCTATTATGAATGCAGATGTAATGATCTTCAAACCATATCCAGCAACACAGAAAAAAATTGTTCGAGTAGCACCAACTGCCATGAAAATCAATTACTGTATTAAATATGCCAATATACTAAAAAATAAAAATTATGCAATCATCTCTATTAATGTAAAAAAGAAAAAAAAACATGCAACAAAAGCTAACAACCCCACTCAGGATGACATTTTCTAGTTCCATCCATTTGCCTGCAAATTTCATGCTGTCATTGTTTTTTACTGCTGAGTAGTACTCCATTGTATATATGTGCCATATTTTCTTTCTCCATTCTTCAGTTGAGGGGCATCTAGGTTGTTTACAGGTTCTTGCTATTACAAATAATGCTGATATGAACATAGTTAAGCAAGTGTCCTTGTGGTAAGATTGAGCATTCCTTGGGTATATGCCCAAGAGCAGTATAGCTGGGTCTTGAGGAAGATTGATTCCCAATTTTCTGAGAAACCACCATACTGATTTCCAGAGTGGCTGTACAAGTTTGCATTCCTACCAACAGTGGAGGAGTGTTCCCCTTGTTCCACATCCTCTCCAACATAAGCTGTCTTCAGTGTTTTTGATCTTAGCCATTCTGACAGGTGTAAGATGGTATCTCAGAGTCGTTTGTACTCACTCATAAGTGGATACTAGATGTTAAGGCCAGGCATGGCCAGACTGCAGCCCATGGCTTCGGAGAGGCTAGCTGACAGGGAGGGACACATGGATAGCTCAGCGAAGTAGAAGTGGATGGGATCTGCATGAGGGGGCTGGAGGTGAGGAGGTGGCGGAGGGCAAGGAATGGGGGATGAGAACATAGGGAAATGGAAGAGTTGAGTTGGAGCAGGGATGGAGTGGGAGAGCAGTGAAGGAGATACCGTGATAGATGAAGACATCACGGGAGTGGGAAGAGCCAGGGTGCCAGGGAAGCTCTCAGGAATCCACAGGGATGACCCCACCTTGGACTGCTGGCAGTAATCGAGGGGGTGTCTGGACTGGTCTACTCTGGTGACCAGTCTAGTGAATACCCTAACTGTCATCATAGAGCCTTTATCCAGTGACTGATGATGGCAGATGCAGGGATCTGCAGCCAGGCGCCAGGCTGAACTCCTGGAATCCAGTCGATGGGAGAGAGGACAGATTCGCCGTTGAGATAATGATGGGAAGACGTGCAGAGATGACCGGCCACACTAGTGGAAGCCCATGAACTGTGGACTGGTGGCTGTGGAGCCCTCATGGGACTGGACTAGGCCCTCTGGATATGGGAGACAGTTGTTTAGCTTGAACTGTTTGGGGGACACCTGGGCGGGAGGATCGGGGATCCATCCCTGGTGCATGGGCAGGCTTTTGGGAGGCCAGTGCCTGCGGTATGGCACCTAGTGCAGCCTTGGTGTGGTGGAGAGGGTTTTGGACCTGCCTTGGTTCTGTGTGCCCGGCTCTGCTGACTCCCCATGGGAGACCTTGATTTGGAGGATGTGGGGATGTGGGGTGGCTTGGGAGGGAGGGCTGGGGGATGGGAGAATGTGGAATCTGTGGGTGGTATGTAGGGTGAGTAGAAAATTTCTTAATTAAAAAAAATGGAAAAGCCGGGCGGTGGTGGCGCACGCCTTTAATCCCAGCACTCAGGAGGCAGAGGCAGGCGGATCTCTGTGAGTTCAAGGCCAGCCTGGTCTCCAAAGCGAGTTCCAGGAAAGGCGCAAAGCTACACAGAGAAACCCTGTCTAAAAAAAAAACTAATAACCCTTTGTGAGTAATAATATTCAACCAAGTAGAAATAGAAGGAAACTTCCTCAACCTGATGAAGAGCACTATAAAACTCCATACCTGAGGCCAGCAAGATGGCTCTGTGGGTAAAGGCATTTGCCTCCAAGCCTTAGTATCTATGTTTGATCCCTGGGACTTACACATTCAAAGAGAACCAACTCCTGCAATTTGTCTCTGATCTCTGTTAGTATGTTTTGGTACATGTGTACATGTGCCTCCCCACATATACCAAAAAAAAAAAAAAAAAAAAAATCCAGAGCTAACATCATGCTCAATGGTGAAAGACTGAAGGTATTTTCTCTATTCAAAAATCAAGATAAAAAACAAGGCAAAGAACGTCCCCCTCTTGAGACATCTAATCACTAAGTAGACGAGCTTAAGCCATAAAAAGTACAATTATTTTGCAGATGACATAATCTTATATTCAGAAAATTCCAAGAATTTGCTAAAAATCTTTGGAAATGAAAAGTTCACCAATGTTACTAAACACAAGATGAACACATAAAAATAACTTGTATTTCTATACCTAAAATGAGCAAGCCAAAAATAAAAAAAAGCCAACTATGTAAACAATAACATTAGTTATAAATAGATTAAACAATTCAAGCGCGCCTTGAGATGTTTCCTGGGATCAACATGGTGGAAGCAGAAAACCAACTCCCGAAAGTTGTCCTCTGACATCCATATGTGTACATCAGCATGGTGCACATACACAAAAAGAAATACAATTTAAGAAATAAAAATTAAAGAGCCCATAAACACATTGAAAGCAGAGGGATGGTAAAAGATAAAGAGAAGTGCCATTTTACCACTGGAAACATATTCTAAGGACCTTTAGCAGACGCCTGAAACCATGAGTAGTATTCAAATCTTACAATACCTTGATAGTTCATCTGATAATCAAGACAGCTACTAAGTGACCAACAGGTGGGAAGTGTGGACATGGCAAGGGATGACTCAACTGCAAGATTTCATCATGCCACTAAGAACTGCACATGATTTTAAATTCATGAATGATTTCTGGAGTTTTTCTTTTTCTTTAAGTCAGTGTCTTCTTAGGCAGAGCAGGCTAACTTTAAACTCAGAGATCTGCCTGCCTCTGCCTCCTGAGTGCTAGGTTTAAAGTATGTGACACCACACTAGGCACCAACTTTAATATTTTAATTACAGTTATTGCATCACTGTTGACTTCAGAGAAGTGTATCTGCTTGAAGTGCAACCACAGACAAGAGGGTGGACTACTGTATCATTCAAACAACAACAACCATAGGACAGACAGGATAGCTACAGATTGAGAGTAGGCAGAGAGGGCTGGAGAGATGGCTCAGCAGTTAGGAGCGCTTGGTGCTCCTGCACAGGACCTGGATTCGATCTTAGTACCCACAAGGCAGCTAGCTCACAACCTTCTGTAATTCCTGTCCCAAGGAATCTGACTTCCTCTTCTGACCTCTGTGGGCACCAGGCACACATGTAGTGCACTACATACATATGTGGATGGATGAAATCTTTTTTAAAAAAGATTTATTTATTTATTATGTTTACAGTGTTCTGCTTGCATATATTTCTGTAAGCCAGAAGAGGGCACCAGATCTCATTACAGATGGCTGTGCGCCACCATGTGGTTGCTGGGAATTGAACTCAGGACTTCTGGAAGAACAGTCAGTGTTCTTAACCTCTGAGCCATCTCTCCAGCCCCTGAAATCTTTATTATAAGATTACTCAATATTAGACAAATTTCAAAGTGTATATATATATATATATATATATATATCAGAGAGAATATCAGGAAATTAAACCTAATCAAGTCTCCTAATTCTCCCTCTTTTTGTTCCACATATCATAAAGGCAAACCTACTTTTTCTCTTTTCAAAATGCAATTAATTAAACTAACTAAAGAAATAAACAACCCTCTTACGGTTTTTAGGATTACAAAAAAGAACAGTTCAGTTCACAGGACTCACTCTTTCAGGCCTGCTCTCTCGGCCTGGTGGTTTCAGAATGTCATCCACATTCTTGGACTCAGGCTTCTTCTCAACCCGTGGAGCTGGAGGCGGCTGGTGGCCCAGGGCAGGAGCTGGAAGGGGCATTCGCTCCTCTGGGTAAGTTCTTCGCTCTCCTAGAGTTCCAGCAGTTGAATAACATTATTATTTACACAGTAATTATTGTGGAAGGTAGTAACTTTCTGTTCTCATCCTAATTATAATTCAGATCAGGTCTAATGAGGTGAGAGTCACTTTAAATGTAATTAATACACAAATCTACTGCAATTGAGAAAATGAAAAGACCGGCATGTATCTGGGGAAAACAGATTGCTCTGTAAAATACTGAATCCACCGTTATTCATATTAAACATAGGAAAACATTCAGCAACAGGACCTAGAGAAGTAAATATTTTGCTAGATAGCCCAAGCATGACCAATCCTGTACAAGTTCTATGACTTTTGCTTTATAGTTTAAGAGCAAGAGTCATTGCTTAGGAAAGCTTATTCCTGAGAACAGGTGGGAATTTCTAGTTTAAGTGCAATTCACGGTAATGAGGAGGTAAGACCAAATTCAGTGTCTAACAGTAAGTGCCTTATACTTTATCAATTCCATGGAACAGCACGGAGCCACTAAGAGGTTTGAATATGGGAAAATTTATATGATGCAGTTATTAAATAGAAGAAATACAATAAAGATAACTTTATGTAGGAGTGGGGATTCAACTTAGCATTGTAGCACTTGCCCAGCATGTGTGAGGCTTTGGATTTGATGCCTAGTACAGCCCCCCAAAAAAAAACAAAACAAAAAAAAACCCCACAAGAAAACTCCTGGCTTTATTCCTGCTAACTTCATAAGTAAGAATGAGGAGAGAAGGAGGGCTGGAGTGATGGTTCAGCACTCAAGAGCACTGATTGCGCTTTCAGAGAACCAAGGTTCAATTCCAGTACCAACACAGAAGCTTCCAACAATCTGTAACTCCACTTCAGGGGCTCCCTGGGCACCAGGCATGCACACAGTACACAGACATACACGCAGGAAAAGCACCCAGACAAATAAAAAAGGAAATAATAATTTTAAAAAGAGAAAATGAGGGGCTGGAGAGATGGCTCAGAGGTTAAGAGCACCGACTCTTCTTCCAGAGGTCCTGAGTTCAATTCCCAGCAACCACATGGTGGCTCACAACCATCTGTAATGAGAACTGGCACCCTCTTCTGTATACATAATAATAAAAAAAAAAAATCTAAAAAAAAACAAACAAACAAACAAAAAAAAAAAACAAATTGAGCAATGTATCTTCTATTTCATGGAATAGTTTGCTCAGTATTGGCAGTGATTTTTTAAAAAAAAAAAAGAGAAAATGAGGGAAATACGTAAAATTAAAGTTACACTATGGTGTGTAGTGGGATTCTAAATGACTCTGTTTTTCAAAACTCCTTTAATAGTATAAAATTTAAAATTAAAATTTATTTCATTAATTACATTACTTTTTTTATAATAATGCTACCATCTCTTAAGAAATCTCAAGTTCGCCGGGCGGTGGTGGCGCACGCCTTTAATCCCAGCACTCGGGAGGCAGAGCCAGGCGGATCTCCGTGAGTTCGAGGCCAGCCTGGGCTACCAAGTGAGCTCCAGGAAAAGGCGCAAAGCTACACAGAGAAACCCTGTCTCGAAAAACAAAAAAAACAAAACAAAAAAAAAAAAAAAAAAAAAAAAAAGAAATCTCAAGTACAGTTTATTATAAATGTTTAAATCCACAGCTACAATGAAAACCACCTTCTATTTGTTTACATTTTCAACATAGTTGTTGTTAGTAAGGCATCCTACCTCCAAACATGGATGGGCCTTCATAGGGTGGTCTATCAGACTTCCGGTCATAGGATGGCCTATCAAATCCTCCTCTTCTGGATGAGGAATGGTCTTTTTTGTCTCGATATGACTGATTCCTACAGGGTGTTACAAGAGTTTTTGGTGAATATATAAATATTTGGAAGGTCTCTGCTTTGTAGCACAACATCATTATCTGCCCATTGTCTCTATGGCACTTATTCCATAGTCAATATTTAAATGTTAAACTTGCCTTTTCACTTATATCTACCTAAACATCTCAAGAGTTATAAAAATAAATTGCTTGCCTATAAATTAAGTACTTGTTGTATTTTATCAATAATATTATGCTGGTCCTGGTAGCACACGCCTTTAATCCCAGCACTCGGTAGATAGAGGCAGGCGGATCTCTGTGAGTTCGAGGCCAGGCTGGGCTACAGAGTGAGTTCCAGGACAGGCTCCAAAGCTACACAGAGAAACCCTGTCTAGAAAAACCAAAAAAACAGAGAGAGAGAGACAGACAGACAGAGGGCAGGTGCTTCTCTGTGAGCCTGATGCCAGCATGGTCTTCAAAACAAAGTTCCAGGAAAGGCAGAGCGATATAGTAGAGAGACCCTATCTAAAAAAATCAAACAACAAAAAAACCAACAACCTGGTTGAATTTACACAAGATATTTTACATACATAGAAAGGCATTTTTTACACCATACCTGTCATCTCGGGGTCTACGCTCTCTGTCAAATCGATCCCGCTCATAGTCAAGAACACGATCCCGGTCTCTATCTCGATGTGTCTCTCGGTCCCTTTTAAAATCTCGATGATCTGCTGTATTAGTTTGACGGTCAAAATAAGGTTCACGATCTCTGTCTCTATCACAGCGATCACGCTGCATTATATGCTCTATAAGAACAATACAGAGTAAGAACTACAAGTGTTTTCGGAACTAAAGCAAGAAGTACAATTTTAACTTCAGAAATAGTACAAATCAATGTCTTAAATTTAAGAACCTTTTAGTGATGTTAAAGGTAAGCCTAATCTTGCTAAGGAGGAAAATCTTATAATAATTAGGCCCTAAAGTTAAGCTTAAAATTACTTTTCTCTCTGGGAATCCTACCTGCATCAAAAGTTGACCTTTCAGGTAATGGATCTGGGCGTAGAGTTATTCTTTCTCCATATGGTATCTGTTCAACTTTATTAGTAGGCATATCTGGCAAAGAAAACCAGGGAGGAAATATAAGAATGAAGCTTAAGGAAACCAAGCCTCAGGTTAATAATTCCTATAGAAGTCTAGCATGGTAGTACACACCTATAATCCCAGCACTCAGGAGGCCGAGGCAAGAGGATCTAGAACCTGCAGTGATTATGAACTACATAATAAGTTCCAGGGCCAGCAAGAGAGTGACTCAAAAAACTTATAATCCCCTCTCCAGAAAACTACTTCCTGTCAGGTGCACTGGTGTACACTCTAATACCAGAACTTGGTAGGTTAGGAGCGGGAGTTCAAGGTCATTGTCTGGGCTAGTTTACATCAACTTGAAACAAACTAGAGTCATCTGAAAAGAGAGACCCTCAAATGAGAAAATGCCTCCATAAGATCCAGCTGTAAGGCATTTTCTCAACAGTGATTGATGGGGAAGAGCCCATCCTATTGTGGGTGGTGCCATTATTGGGTGGGTGGTCCTAGGTTCTGTAAGAAAGCAGGTTGAACAAGCCATGAGGAGCAAGGCAGTAAGCAGCACCCTCCATGGCCTCTGCATCAGCTCCTAACTTCAGGTTCCTGCCCTGCTTGAGTTCCTATCCTGGCTTCCTTCCATGATAGATTACAATGTGGAAGTGTAAGCCAAATAAGCCCTTATCTTTCCAACTTGATTTTTGGTCATGATGTTTCATCACAGCAATAATAACCCTAACTAGGACAGAAATCCTCTGCGACACAGTGAGTTTGAAATCAGCCTTGGCTACGAGATCCTGTCTCACAAAACCAAACTTATTAACACCACCAGCAAACAGTTCCTGTAGAACCCCAGCCATATTTCACCATCATTACTCACCTCGGCCATGGCCATAGTCAACTGTATGCTGCACTGGTGGTGGTTTGGACATTGGTGGCATACCCATAGGCATTGGGCCAGGAGGGGGAATGGAAGAATGAACAGGTGGGGGTGGTAATACCGGAGCAGACTGAATTGTTGCAGTGTCTGACTTAAATTCTGAATTCAGTCCTTGATCAACATTTGTATCCCAGAGCCCATAGAAAGAATCTTCGTCCCAGCGTTCCTGTTTCATAGATGAAGTTTTTCGCTTTATAACTGGGGGAGGAGGAGGTGGTGGTGGAGGTGGCGGAGGCGGTGGTGGTATTGGCACAGGTGGCCTAGTCATAGGAACGGATGATCTTGCTGGTGGAGCAGAGGGTCTTACGACTGACCCTGGTGGCTTACTCATAGGAGGGCGTGGTCTATAGGCTCCTGGAGGCTAAGGAGAAAGCAAACGGCTTAGGAAGCTAGTCACTACATACACTGTCACAGGTGAGTGGAAATCAAAATCTAGTTCTCAATCCACTAAAAAATTAATATACGAGATATATTCAAAATGTAAAGCTTTTGTGTTTTTAAAGACACTAGTAGACACTGGGGAGATGGCTCAGTGGTTAAGATCACTCACTGCTCTTGCAGAGGACACAAGTTCATTTCCTCGTACCCACGCTGAGTGGACCATCTGTAACTCCAGCTCTAGGAGGATCTAAGAACTCTGGTCTCTGTGGGCACCTACACACACACAGCTATTGCACACATATACATAATGTAAAATGTGTGCACATGTGTGCATGTACGTACGTACACACACACACACACACACACACACACACACACACACACACACACACACACACACACACACTCCGGGCCTGGTGGTATATGCCTTTAATCCCAACACTTGAAGATCTCTGTGAGTTCAAGGCTAACCTGGTCTACATAGTAAGTTCCAGAACAGCCAAGACTACATGCTGAAACGCCATCTCAAAAAAAAAAAATGTTTTTAAATAAGATACCAGCAGGAGATAGGGAGATAACTCTGCCAGTAGAATGCCTGCTATGCAATATGAGGACCTGAGTTCAAGTAACAGAACTTACATAAAAAATTTGGGCATGGTTTGGAAGGATGGTTCAGTGGTTAAGAGCACTTCCTACTCTTGGAGAATACCTGAGCTCAGTTCCCGGCACTCACATGGTGGCTTACAACCAGCCATCTGTGACTCCAGTTCTAAGGGACCTGATACCTTCTGACCTTTGAGAGCATTCATGTGGTACATATACAAACAAAATATTTACAAACATAAAATAAAAATAAGTAAATCTTTTTTTTTAAATTGGAAATGGTGGTACAACTGGGGAAGCAGAGACAGGCAGACCCTAGAGCTTCCCTGACCAGGAGTCCTAATCTAATGTGAGCCCCAGGTCTGTGAGATATCCACCATCTAAAACACAAATACACAGTTGTTTGAGGAACAATAACTGAGGTTGACCAGTGGTTTCCATACATACATACACACACACAGAAACACCAGCAGGAAAATGAAGACAGGCCACAGAAAAGGAAAAACATAGAAATGCCATTCCTAATAAAAATAATTGAATTCATAATATATAAAACTTTTATAACTCTAGCTGGGCATGGTGGCATACCCATTCATCCTACAGGGAGATGGAGGTGGATCAGTTCAAGGCCATCCTCAGCTACATAGTTAAGTTTGAGACCAGCCTGGATTATGACATCTTGTTTCAAAGATAAACAAAAACCCCAGCAAACTGCTGATAATCCCAGAATTTAGGAAGAAGAGGTAAGTGAATCTCTATGAGTTTAAAGCCAGTCTACCTGGCCAGGTAGTGGTGGCACACGTCTTTAGTCCCAGCACTTGGGAGGCAGAGGCAGGCGGATCTCAGTGAGTTCGAGGCCAGCCTGGTCTACAGAGCGACTTCCAGGACAGCCAGGGCTACACAGAGAAACCCTGTCTTGAAACCACCACCCCTGCCTGCCCCCCAAAAATGAAGTATCAACTCTTGCTGTAACATGAACTAAAAAATGTTATGCTAAGTAAACGCAGCCAGATTAAATTTATATGAAATACGCACAGAGGCGAAACTACAGAGACCGAAAATGTGCTAAAGGCTGCTTGGTGCTAAGGAAGAACTATAAGCTAGTACAGATATTTTACTGGATAAGATGTTTTAAAATTAGATTATAGTAACACGTGCTCAGTGAATTTAGTTTAAAAGCCAGTGAGAGGCTAAGGAGATTGCTCAGTTAGGAAAGTGCTCAAATAAAAACACTTCCTCCTTTCCATTTCTCTTAGTCTACTGGTTGTGGTCTATTTATTTTACAGTGACAGCTATTTTGGACCTTGGAAAGCCAACAGTATATATTACTTATGTTCATCTGGAGGTTGTGCTTTAAAATTAGACTTTTGGGGCTGGAGAGATGACTCAGTGGTTAAAAGCACTGGTTGCTCTTCCAGAAGACTCAGACATGGTAGCTCCCCACCATCTGTCTTCAGTTCCAGAGGCTCTATCATCCTTTCCTGGCCTCTATGAGCATGAAGCACAGTAAGTGGTACATTTACATAAATGCAAACACTCATATTTGTAAAATTAAAAATAAATGTATCTCAAGAAAAAGACACATATTTTAAAAATAAATAAAATCAGGGCTTTTGAGTAAAAATGGACTTTACTAATATTAATTAACATGGGAAACATTTGGGAGGGGTTTCAAGACAGGGGTTCTCTGTATAACCCTGGCTGGCCTTGAACTCAGATCCGCCCGCCTCTGCCTCCCAAGTGTTGGGATTAAAGGTGTACGCCACCACCACCCAGCAGCTTGAAAAACTATTAATGTTACTAGTTACCAACGATGTGTACAAGGAGGCTGTAGAGATGGCTCAGGAGTTAGAGCACTCATGCTCTTCTAGAGGACCTGAATTTAGTTCTCAGTACCCACATTGGGTGGCTCACAACTGTCTATAACTTCAGTTCCAGGGGATCCAATGAAAGCTCTCTTCTGGTCTAGAGCACCCACAAACACATGACACACATTCACACAGACAGGTACATACACTTAAAAAAAATCTTAAAAATGTATACTGGCTATGGTACAGATGTTATACAATTATATAAGAGAGTTGTTTGAATGTGTTAAGAGTAAGTTTTAAATGCTTTTATTATTTATTTGTTAGGTCAATACTTAATTGTATTAACAAATAGGAGACCAATTGTCTCTGGCTGTGTCTGGCAGGTAGACCTAAAAAGCAGCATTATTTGAGTAGAGAGAATGTCTTTATTTTTCCCCCCACAAGACAGGGTTTCTCTGTGTAGTGCTGGCTGACCCGGAACTCACTCTGTAGCCCAGGCTGGCCTAGAACTCACAGAGATCCGCCTGCCTCTGCCTCCTGAGTGCTGGGAGTAAAAGCATGAGCCACCACCGCCCGGCTGAGAATGTCTTACTTTTGACTGAAGTTTCCCACTTTAGGAATTTAAAATATCCAAAATAAAAACCTGATACAAAGAAATTCATTAAAGTTGCATTAATAATAGTGAAAGATTAAAAGAAAATAACCAGCATAAATGAAACAGTTCAATAAATTACTGTGCATCAAAACAGTAACATATAGCAATATGGGAAAGCTTGTTTTGTCAGATAACAAGTGGATCTATAATCTAGATCAGTGGTTCTCACCCTTCCTAATGCTGCACCTTTAACACAGCTCCTCATGTGGTGGTGACCCCCAACCCTAAAATCATTGCATTGCTACTTCTACTTCATAACTCAGTTGGCTACTGTTGTGAGAGGACTAGTTAGGTATGGAGCACCCACCGTCAGGCTCACAACTGCCTTCAACTCTAGCTCCCAAGTATCTGACAGCACTTCTGAGCTCTGACGGCACCCACAGCATGTACATAAACTTCAACACAGACAGATATACACTCACTCACACATACAAATAAGCCTTTTAAATACACCGTCTGTTTGGCTTAGTACATAGTAATACTGCCTAACGTGGAGTAGAGGGTAGGCACTGCTCCAAATACAAGAAGAGTATGAGAGAACTTTTTTGATGTGATGGAAATGTATTATTTTAATACAGTTGTTAAATGGTGGGGAGTGGCTGGAGAGTTGGCTCAGTGGTTATGAGCATCTGTTATTTCTTTTTACAGAGAACCAGGTTTGATTCCCGGCACTCACATGGAGGCTCACAACCATCTGAATCTTTACCTCCAGTCCCAGGGTATGTGAAGCCCTCTTCTGACCTTCATGGGCCAGGCAAGTTCATGGTGTGAATACACACACGCGGGCATTCATACATACACTAAACAAATCTAACAACAACAATAATTTAAAAAGGAGTAAGGGCTAGGGAATTAGCTCAGTGGTAGATCACTTGCCTGCCTGAGAGACACTCTGGGAGCAACACACTGGGATTCAGTCCTCGGGATCATACTCTCCTCCAGACCCTCACAGTCTTAAAGTCCAAGGCCTGGCAAGATGGCACCTGCTGCCAAGCTGATAATCTGAGTCTGATCCCTGGGGATCCACATGGTAGAAGAAATGACTCTAAAATGCTCTCTGCTGATTTTCCCATGGGCACTATGGCATGACCCACACACAAAATAGATAAATAAATGTAATTTTAAAAAATAGTTCATCACCAAGTTAAAGGTAAAATAACAAACAATGTAAGAAAAAAAAATCCAAATAAAACAGTAGAGCTTACCGGGACTTGGCTGACACAGCATACCTCTATCCCCACCCCCCCACCCCCCAAAAAAAACCAGTAGAGCTTCATCACTCAACTCTTTTCTCTGAGACAGGTACTCATACTACTAGTGGAGACTGGCCTGGAACTCATAGATGTCCACCTGCTTCTGCCTCCCAAGTGTTAGAATTAAAGGCATGTACGACCCACCATAACTGGCTCACTCAACTTTTTCTTGTTATTGTTTGAAGGGCACTCGCTGTGTGCCTAGCTATAATATTAGAGACCTGTCTCATCTAAATGGAAAAGGAGCACTATGAGTTCCCATCTAGCCCTCCCTAGATGAGACACAGGACTATCGGAAATGAATAGATTAGGTGGGGGAGGGGTGGGTACAGTACTTGCTGTGCAAGCAGAAGGCCCTAAGTTCAGATTCTAGACCACTCAGGTAAACAGTGGGCACAGCACTATAAGCATATAATAACTACAGTGCTGGGAAAGTGAAGGCAGGCAGATTCTGAGGGCTGCCTACCCAGACAATCTCGCAAGACAGAGGACGGTAACTCAGGTTGGTATCTGGTCTCCGTATGTGCACATACACAGGAAGAAGCACTACCCCCACAAGTGCAGATACACCACATAACACACACAAGTGTTAGGAAAATCCGACCACCAAACTCAGGTTAGTACCTTGGCAGCAACTGCTATCCTGCCAGCAAAGCCTTGTTCTTTAGAAACGTGGGGGCTTGGGGGAGGGTGCAGTACTGAGGATTGAATACAGTCAACAGGAAGCTACAGAGTCTAGGGAAAGGAGCGAGCCTTGCATGTGTCTAACTACTGTGAAAGATGTTCAAAACTTTTCCTTTTCCAAGACTTATGTTTTTACAATGGAAATTTATGCTTATTGCAATTTAAAAAATCTAACATCATATAAACATACGCAGTAAAAACCATTTCATTTTCTGAGCACACAACACATTTTCCCCATACCGGATATATCCCAGGTCTTGATGCATTCTGTAGTCTTGAGTCCTGGGGTGGTGGATGGTCAGCCATCTGTGGCTCAGACCCAAAGTCTTTCAACTTTTGAAGCTGTTCTTTCTGTTCTCTGTAAATAAATGAAATTGCCATTGTACTTAAAGCATTATTTACACCATCCCCAAACAACTATGATTAAAACCAAATTTTTAAAAATACAAGAGCCCACACTGCACCTCTGTGGTAACATTTTCTTGCTTTTTACACAACTAACCCATCAGCCCTCTGAGACTTACAATCATAAATTATCAATGATCTTCAAAGACAGACTTTAGAGCCTGCCTCCATAGTATATTGCCTACCTATCATGTTTCTCCTTTAACCAATCCCAAATTTTTTCTTGCTAATTTTTTTTCACTACTTCAAGAGTTACATAACAGACCGTGAGTAAAATACAGTCTAGGAGGGCTTTTTCAGGCGTCTGTAGGAGGCTTGTTTTGTTTGGGAGATGGAGGTGTGAAACAGTCTCATGTACTCCAGGCTGGGCTCAAACTGGTCAAATCCCTCTGAATTCCTTCCTAATGCTCTTGCCTTCACTTCCCACGCGCTGGGATTACAGGTATGCACCACCACACTTGCCTCTCACGTCAGAGTTTAAAACTGGAATTAGCCATCATTATTTACAAAGAAAATAGTTCACATAGAAATTGAGTTTTTAAAGAGTTTTGATTAATATCAGGCCTACATTCTCCCAAGTCAACAACTAGTTATGTGGAGCCATAGTGACCATGTTAGATGAAGCAGTTCATCAAAACCCTCACCACACTCCAGAGTTCTACCTGGTCCACTGTTATTCATTTTTGTTACTTTCTCTTTAAAAAATTTTTTTTTACATTATTTATTTTTATTTTGTGTATGAGTGTTTTGCCTGCATGTGCATGCAGTGCCCAGGGAGGCCAGAAGAGGGCGTTGGATCCCATTGGAACTGGAGCTACAGACAGTGTTAGCTGCCGTGAGGGTGCTGGGAATCGAACCTCACTCCTCTGGAAGGGAAGTCAGTACACTTAACTACTAAGCCATCTCTCCAGCCCTACTTGCCAGACTCTTAAGAGCATTTTAGTTTACTATCTGCTTTAGATGGTGAGAACACTCACCGGTCTAGTCTTAGAAAAAATACTTCATATTCATAAAGATTAATTCTCATCTTCTACATTTATAGTGTCTACTACAACCTCTCCAGAATTTTTACAATATATCTTTATACACAATATTGTCACTCAAATGGACAAGACGTACATAAGGCTTATTATTGGCTCATGTAAATATTGTTTACAGTATTCCTTGTCTTTATAAAGGTATAACATAACCTACGTATTCTCAACTACAATCACTATTTTCCATTACTCCATATATTCAGATTAGGTTCTGTTGCCTAGGAAGAGGTTCAAGGAAAAAAAAAAGGTGACTAAGCGGCACCTTTCATGCGGCAAGTCTATGCAAAGCAACAATGCATGAAAAAGTAATTTTAAGTAAGGAAAGGGAAGAAACTGGAAGTTTAGTAACCAATCACCAATCAGTTTTTGTTTGCCATGAAAACATAAGATTTTAGAGTCAGAGTTCAAATTCTGGGTCTGCATTTAATAGCCAAGTGAATTTTCAGCAAGTCTTAGTGGTATTTGTAAAATGAGAATAATATTATTTTTTTCTACAAGCCTTTAGACAGATAAGTTATTTAAGACGGGAGGATCAGCGCAGTGCCCAGCACAGAGTAGGTGTGAATTAAAAGTGCCCACAATTTAGAAGCAAGCAGCTCAATATTCTAGAGCAAGCCTCACATCATGTTCATGAGTAACCTAGAAAAAAGGACTGCCTCAGACTCTTCTACAGACCAAAGAAACCATTGTGCTACTTGGAACACCTTCTTTCATTTTTACCTACAGTTATGTTCTGTATATCACACTTTTCTAGTACTAATGTTTCAGTTACAAATTCAATTGGTATAACCCGCCAATGTAGACCAGAATTGAAAGATGAAACGCACATCAGAATCTATCAAAACTTTACCATTTATTTTCTCAAAAACCTGTTTGGAATAAAACAAAAAACAAAACCAAACCAAACCACCTTACTATCGCAATTATATGAGGAACATTATAACACCCACACAGTTGATTATAAGTGAAAAAAAATCCAACTTCACAATGAAAATACAGGAAGGAATGCCTGCTTCCAGGTAAAATGAAAGGTTAACATGCCCCAAACAAAGAATCAGTACTCAGACAAATCTGAAGACACTCCCAGGTAAACCATTCTCAACACCAGCAGAGAACAAGAAAGCACCTTCCACCATCGCATCGAAGACTAGGGACTATGAAGCCTATCAGATCCAATGCCAAAGAGCCAACTGCCTACTGAAAACAATAAAGGCTCAATATACGAGTCCGGTGAAACCCATAGTCCTGAGAGGTTGACATCTAACACTTGAAACATGCACACTCAAGGCATGCCAGCAACACATCTACAAGGCCAAGAACAGCAATCAATTTGCAAATCCTAGAGCACATTGTACAATTAACAGTTTCCAAACACCCATCCTAACCCCCAAACAGCACTGAATAACCAGAAATATAAATTCAAAGTATGTGATAAGAAATAAGGTGTAAAAGAGTAAGTACCATTAAAAATGCTTCATTTAAAAAAAAAAAAAAAGTATGAAAATCTGTTTGAATTAAAAGAAACGATCTTAAGGAGTGCACTTACCGAAGCATTTTCAATTCCTGTGCAGCTTTCAAAATGATTTCGTGCTGCCTCTGACTGAGAACCATTACCCCTCCAAGGCCTTGGTCAGAGTCTAAATTTGCATCGGACCCCATCATTTCAGAGGAATGATGTGAGGATGGCATATGTTCCGCCATGGGGGAATGTCTATCCACATCAGACGGGTACCATCTGTCTGACAACCGTTCTCTTTCCCAGTCCATTCTGTCAGGAACATAATCTCTCTTTTCCCGCCATGTATCTCCTCTTTCTGGATACTCTCGAATCCTCAACTCACCCCTATCCCGGAACTCTCGGTCATACCCATGGTCTCGATTTCTTTCTTCTCTCCATCTATCATCCTGGTATCTATCCAGAGGTGGAAGGGGTGGGAGGGGCGGCAAAGGCGGAAGAGACGGAATGTCCCGTTCATGGAACTGTGATTCTTGTTCATCCAGTGGTCTCCCATAATCTCTGTCCCACTCATTATCCACACTTCTATCATAGAAATCCACGGGTCTTCTAATCCGATCCACGTCTCTGTCTAAGTCCCTGTCCATTTCCCTACCATAGCCCTCATCCATCTCCTGATCTCTTTCCCAATCATCCCACCAAGGGCCTCGTCTGTCCTCTCTGCTGTAGGGATCGAGTGCATCATCTTGATAGTCACGGTCACACTCTCTCCAGTATTTCTCTCTATCCCAGTCATCGAGTCTTTTTCGCTCAATTGGAGCATTTCTACCATCTAATGGGAACTCTTCATGTCCTCTCTCTTCTCCATGGTTCCACGGAGCTCTTGGAGGCTCATCTCGGTGATAAGGATACATTTTCTCCCCACTATCTCCTGGTTCCAGCCTGAATGGAACTCTATCATGACCAAAATCTGGCCTCCCTAGTCCCCTTTCTCGACTGCCTGATCTCCGAGGCGGTCCCCTCTCTCTGCTCCCAGCTCTTCGGGGGGTTACTCTCTCTCTACTTCCAGCCCTTCGAGGAGGTCCTCTCTCCTGACTGCCAGCCCTGCGAGGTGGCCCCCTTTCTCGGCTGCCAGCTCTACTGTCCTGGCTGTCGTGTGGACTACCTGGTACTTTATTCCTGCTGCTTCCTGGCCTCATCAACACCCTGTCCCGACTGCCTTCTCCTCTGTTCATTTTCTCATGACTGTCTTCTCTTCTACCCATCATCTTATCATGGAAGTCTTCTTGCTTGACCAGCCCCGGGCCTTGACTAATTGTCTGGCAACGGCCTCTGTTTACTAGTCCTTTATCCCGTGTAACTTCCACTCTGTTTTGCCCAGGACCTCTGTAAGATGAGCTGCTGCCTTTGCCTTCTAATCTATTTTCTCTGCTGTCTGGCTGAGGAAGACCTTTTCCTTGGTTGTTCTCTGAGTGGGGCAAACCAACACCCAAAGGTTTGAAGTCATTATCTGCAGCCACCCCGGCGGCGGCGGCGGCTGCTGCTGCGGCGGCTGCTGCTGCTGCTGCTGCTGCTGCTCCTCCTCCCTCAATGTTCTCTAGTTTGAAGGAAAAGGTAGCTAGAGAAGGTACAGGAGGTTTATTTGCAAGGAATACAGGCTGAGTTACGCCTTGGGCTTTGTCCATTTCAGTCTCCATACTTCGAGAATTCTGGTTCCAATTAGAGGGCTCTAGGGGCCCTTTCGTGACTTGGCCTTTAGGTGGCTCTTGCTGAGAGTCGCTTAGATTCTCATTGGGCTGAGCCGCCTTGGTGTCCTTGACATCTGCAGCAGTGGAAAATACATCTGATTGCATTTTAAAATTCTTCTGCTGGTTACTACTTGTGTCTGCTAATGGTTCTTTGCTTCCTGAGAGCGGTTCTGCTTGTGACTTAGGCTGCTGCTGCTGCTGCTGCTGCTGCTGTCCAACAGTTGCTTTGGGGCCTTTCCACTGTGATCCACTCTGTCCAGGGCTCAGGGATGTACTGGGAGTTATATAAAACTGAGATGCTGGACCCCGGGGGATCCTTCCCCATTTGCCTTTAGTGCCCTCTGCTGGGTGACTTTCATATCTGGGTCTTGGCCCATCGGGGCGATTTCCTTCAAAACGAGGCCCTTTGGGTCTCGGTCCTTCACACCTTGACCCTAAATCCTCAAATCTTCGAGGACCATCAAATCTACAAGTAAAACAAAAGATATTACTCAAGACAGTAAAGCAGGAAAAGAAAATTCTCCATGTAGATTATTTAAGGCACTCTTGCCTCAGATTTGTTTACAACAGTGACTCAGTCATTAGCAAACCCCACGTCACCTCTCAGAAACCAGAACGGTAAGGCAGCAGTGCCTGGAAGATTTCAGGTCTAGATTTAGAAAGCAGCCAACATTATCTAACCCATTCAAGCAATCTGCAGCAAGTCACTGATCTACTGAAATGTTAAAAAGCAATTATAAGTGTTGTGCCTTAGAACATGGAATAGTCCACTCCTTTTTAACAGAAAAGAAATTTCATAACCATGAGTACTTTTAGGGTTAAATTATAACCAAAAACCAATTAGCAGGAATGTACAATATAATTATAAATATTGTTGGAGCCAGAACTAAAATCTTAACAAATGTCATACACTCATGCAAAAGCACACACACACACACACACACACCAGGCATATTTTAAAAGTGTTCTCTAAAGTTTTTCAAGGTCTGGACAGAAACGTGTTTGCTATGGACCACCACTAATTAAAGAAACATTCCATCCAAAAGGCAGTATAAAAAATAATAAAATGTCATCAGAGCCCTCAGAATCTACAGTCAAATAGAAAAATACCAAGCGTAGACAAAGTGTCAACAGATAAAAAGACAACAGGCAGAGAACGGTCAGCACTGTCCAGGTGAGAGGAGCCCCTACAATGGTTTATAGAGCAGAATGCTTCGCTTGGAACTTGAAAGGCAGCTTCTGACGGGATGGCAAGGGTGCCTCAGGCTAAGAGACGGAAAGAGGCAGAGAAGTGCACACCATGTGTGCAAATGGTTTAGTGCGGCCAGAGCAGAGGGGGTGGGGAGGGGTAGAAAGACAGCGCGCTAAGGAATAAGGCAAAGAGGCAGGTGACTGCCACTCTCTGAAAGACCGTGTGTGTCTGTCTGCCTTGGACGGCAGGCTTTACTGCTGACATCCAATACTCACCCTCTCCAACTCTAATCCAGTTCCAGGGCATCTAGTATTTTCTTCTGACCTCTGCACTTAACAGGCAAGAACATGGTTCACAAACATGTATGTAGGCAAACACTCATACACAATAAATAATAAATAAATAAAGATGAGTAGATGTGGCAGTCTGTTTGTGCACGGTGGGGTGGTGGTGGTGGTGTCTAGTCAGGGATCTCTGGGACAAACTGGCTAGCTAACTTAGCCAGATTAGCCAGTTCTGGGTTCAGCAAGAGACCCTGTCTCAGTAAAAACAGACTATGAAAGGAATTTACTAACAATCCATCTCTAGCTTCCACATACACACCCAAACATGTGCATCCACATATAAGTCACACACCATACACAGACACACCCACAAGATAAAACAGGCTAACAGTCAAGAGTGACAGCTGCTCTTGCAGAGGACCAGAGTTCAGTTCCCAGCATCCTAGACAACTGCAATTCCAGTTCCAAGGAATTCTTCTTCTGGCCTCCACAGGCACATAGGCACATATAAATAAAAATAAAATAATAATAAAAAAGGTCTTGACTCTCTCTCTGTGGGTCAACAAAGAACAGGATCAGCTGAGGTGTCTGCTGAGAATAAAGGGGATATGGAATGGCAGCCAAGAGAAGCTAGGTATAAGGATCACCTATGACCACATGACCAGTTGTAGAAATAAGAATTCTAGGGTTAGAGAGATGGCTCAGCAGTTAAGAGCATGTACTACTCTTGCAGAGAACCTGAGGTCAGTTCACAGAATACATGTCCACAGCTCACAAGTGCCTATAACCTGAGCTCCAGGATATCCTGTGGTCTCATGTGCATATACCCATACACATAATTAAAAAATAAAACATATTTTTTAAAAACTTTAAGAGTTATGAGTATTTCTTAGTTCAATAATATGTATTGGAATATATACAAAGGTATTAACCAATTATTTTTGGTTCATTTGTTTTCTTTTCTGTCATTTAATAGAAGATGTATTAGCAGTAAGTTTTATATGCTAGTATTAAAGCTACAGAGTATTAAAGAATGTGATGAGCAAGAAGTGAACACTATGTCAAAGACCTCTAAAGGGAAAGGATTAGTGGTTTGGGTTGTCCAGTTGTAAACCTCACACCAGGTATAAAAATCTCCCTAGGGACCAGTGCAATCAGAAACATACATAGAAAGGAATTGAGAAGTGAAGTTCGGCCCACCTTGCAAACCTATCACAACAAAGTAGAAGACACATAAACCCACAATAAATGTACCAAGTACATTTAAATAAAGAGAGGGGACCTACAGGAGACCAGAGTCTTAGGTTTGAGGTCGTTTTAAATTTTTATTTTGCTTTGTTTTTATAGACAGGGTGTCTATCTCAGGCTGGCCTTAAACTCCTTATGTAGACAAGGATAACTTTTGATCCTCCTGCCTCTACCTCCCCAGTGCTGGGATTATATATATAATATATAGGCATAGTCCACCATCCAGTTTGTGGAGTTGCCGAGGATCAACCAGAGCCTCTACATGTTAAGAGAAATACTCTGCCAGCTGAGCAATATCCTTAGCCCTTGTTTTTAAATTCTGGAAGACAAGTAACAGCAAAATGTTATGAGCAGTAACTTTCAAAAGAACTGTGCTGATAGCAGGGAAAGATAAAGTGAAAATGTGGCTGGTGGGGCTGGAAAGATGGCTCAGAGGTTAAGAGCAATAGGTGCTCTTCTAGAGGACCTGAGTTCAATTCCCAGCAACCACATGGTGGCTCACAACCATCTGTAATGAGATCTGATGCCCTTTTCTGGTGTGCTGGCATACATGCCGATAGAGTACTTGGTACATAAATTATTTAAATAAATAAATCTTTTTTAAAAAGTGGCTGGTTTGTCTACAGAACCCAAGAAGGTCAAGATTCCGAAGTACCAGAGATGTGGAGGAAAGACAAGAGTTAAGATACTTATTCATCTTCTCAAAATAAAAGATACAACAAGCCCATCAAGTGTGGTGGTTAATGGTCTTGAAATGGATCCAGGCCTAGAAGAAGAACCAAGGCCAAGGTAGATGAACCCCAAAGAAAACCTGAAACTTAGCAACCACATTCCGCTCCCCCAGGAACTAACTATTACTGTACTGGAAATTATCATCTTATAATAACTGAGATTTATTCAACCAGGAGATGGCATGCCATCCACGAGTTGGACTGGGAACCCATTTCAACAGTGTGGTTACTATGGCAATGAAAGTAGTTAGCAGTGCTGACCACGGTACTGAGACGGCACTGACAGAACCTGCTTGCTAAACGAAGTTTGAAATTCAGACTGGAATGGCCCAACAGGGAAACGCTGCTCAACAGATGACTAAGAGACAGCCATCAACAGGACATGCATCCTTTAAGAACTTAGACCTTTAAAACAAAACAACAATTTCAAACATGAATTAAGTATAGTTGACCATATATATATGTGTGTGCGTGTGTATATGTATATATACACAAACTCCCTATTACCTTCTTTTGCCCCACCTACTTCCAATGACCCCCTTCTTCCTAACCATTATCCGCTCCTTTATATCTGTGTGTGCATCCCACTGAGTTTAATTAGTGCTGCTTTGATGAGCATAGACTGAGGGTTATTTATCAGAACATGGGCAGTTTTTAACAGTGGTGTAGCCACAAGGGCTACAGCATCAGCTCTCAACCTGTAGCACAAACGACTCTTTCACAGGGGTCACATATCAGATATTCCAGATATCAGATATTTACATTACAATTCGCAACAGTAGAAAAATTACAGTTATGAAGTAGCAACAAAATAACTTTATGGTTGAGGGTCACTACAACATGAGGAACTGTGTTAAAGGGTTGAGGAATTAGGAAAGTTGAGCACCAATGGGCTAGAGAGATGACTCAGTAGTTAAGAGAACTTGTTCTTGAAAAGGAACTAGGATCGGTTCCCAGGGCCCATAAGATGGCTCACAACCACCCATAATTCCAATTCCAGGAGATCTGACACCATCTTCTAAACTCCAAGAGCACCAGGCAATAGAATCCCAGTACTGGGAGACAGGCATGTTTTATCTTTGAGTTCAAGGCCATCCTGGTGTACTAGAGTGTCCAGGACAGCCAAGACTACACAGATAGACCTTGTCTCAACATCTCCCTCATTCCCCCCAAAAAGCATCAGGCACCATGCAGTATACATACATGCAGGCAAAGCATACATACATATAAGATAAAAAATGAACCCCCAGCTAAAAAAATCAAAGATATCATTAGTCCTTAATTGCTGTGGGATATTCTGTATGGCAAATGTGTTGCTCTGATTGGTCAATAAATAAAATACTGACTGGCCAGTGGCTAG